GATGCTGACCACTCACCCCCATCTAGTGCCGAGGTCAAGGAAGAGAGGAGCTATACCTCCACTCACCCCAAACGCCTACATGGCGTATAGTGGGACAAACTTTACTTTTACTGACAGATGGCAACATGAACAGTTCATTCTGCCATTAACAAATGGCACAATGCAATTATTGGCTGAGAGCACCAAAAGACAATCAGACAAACAACAATAAAGTGCTACTAATATTTTGTTTTGTAAATATTCTTCTTTGAAATTAATAGTTTATGAGAAATGTTAACTCATACTATATTATATAATGTATTAAAGCATTGTTAATGTACAAACACACAATCCTGGCCCCCTTATTTGATAGGCTATCGTGTCAACACAATTTCTGACAAATGAATGAAACAGTGGAACAGAAAAGTAAAACTTGGTATCAAAATCATACATTGTGTTTACTTAGTGATTAGAGATATTAGAAACATGTAGGAGCATTTAAAGTTTAAATTTGCAAGGGACGTATGTGACACTGCTTGCTCATAATGTTGTGCTCATAAAAGACTTATTTTGTACACAATGCTCTTCCTGTTACAGTATGTTCAATGACATCCCAGATTTTCATTAAGTGATCTAAGGGCATTAAAGTAACAACAAGTTTGGGTGATTTACAATTAAACTAGCATCCAAAAATACAAGGCATTTTATTTGACATGCCACTGATTGTATATTGCATCCACAACTGAATTTAAAAATGAATTTAGGCACTAGAACTAGCTGGCAGGCTGGGATTTTGGGGTTATGGGTCTTGTTATAAATTCCTCTCTTTACACCATAAGAAATTATTACAGTCCCGGTCAAACTGGGAAATACTCAGAGGCAGGGCACGGTAAGATTTACAAAATCAATGGATGACAATTTCCAGCAAGGGTGCTTTTGTTCAAATCTCCCATTCCTAGATTGCTTGGCACCTTTGTAGTTTCTGAAACATGGTCTTAGTAATTATTTATCTCACTCTCCACTTTACTGAAATTTTGGCTAGCCAATAGGAGAGTGTTTGTTCTAGCTTTAATTGGCTGTTCAATCAAGAAGTAGAATTAGGTCCAATATGCTTGGCCAGTCAGATTCTTTGAATCTGAATAAATATGAACTTCTTCTCCTCAAATGAAATGTTCTTCTTTGTGTTGGTGACACTACACTCACAAGGGACTAATGTGTTACAGTTCATTTCATTTTAGTTTAATCCCATGTAAACATTAGCACACTATAATCAATGGACCCCTCTGCCCAGGCCAATACTCGATTCAATCAACTAAGGTGACCGCATGCAAAGAGACCCAAAGAGACAAGCCAACCTTCCATCCCCATTTTGGGTAGCACTAAGAGTCTAATTTACCTTTTCAACAGAAGATAACAAAAGCACCATCATAGGAACTGATACAGCAAGCTACACATTACTGCCACTGGGAAATAATGTTTTCAGTGTAGAAAATGTAAGCCACAGATAAGGTATGTGGTTCCTTATCTGCTACCCCTTCCCATACCCGATCACCTTGCCATTTACTTCTAAGGGACCCACACTTTACTCCCAGATACCATGACCGAGCCACACCTACATACACAATTCATAAAGTGATTATTTTTATTGCATCAGGTGTTCAAGATAAATCTTTCACGTAAACAGCTGTACATAAGCAAATTATTTTCAATGTTCAAATAATCAATACATTACTAACATGTGATGACAACTGAGAGAATGTTTCTTTGTAGGAATTTAGGTTTTCACAGCGGTGAGTCTGAAGATTGCTGTCTTCTGGGTTGTTGCACCGTGTAGTCTGGTAGATGTCCACCATCAGGGTGATGATGGAGGCAGCATGGACCTCCGAAACGTTGGTGAACATCTACCAGACTACACGGTGCAACAACCGAGAAGACAGCAATCTTCAGAATGTTATTTGTGAACGCAAACTCCATTTTCCTGTATAAATGCTACCAAAGAATGAGATGGCTGCTTTCAGCAGAAGAAAAAGTGAGAGATCCTCCTACATGTCTGTATCGAGATTAAAGTAAAATGAAATGACCCATACAGTGGGAACACCTCCATGTCACTCTGCAACATGGATTGCTAAGGATGGAAAGGCATGTACTATATTTAATTATCTTCCTCCTAGAAGATAACACACATTAAAATGAATACATACCCACGCTTTGCCAACAACCATGACATCAGACCACATGAACTGCTGCATTGTCTCCCACACTATGACGTTTACGATGATCTGACTAATGTCGGATGTGATCTAGAAAAGAACCCGGTAGCACCATGAGTAAACCGAGAACAAGAAGTACATATATACTTAACGCCACAAACAAGCTCAAAGATCACACATTCACTGACAGATTGCAGCACAAATAGATCAGATAACAGATGGCACTACACTCTTTTTGGTTGAAAATGCTACATGCTGACAGACAGACTGGATATACCCATGATATGATTCTGTTTATGCTGAATGTAAAGAATGCCTCATAAGGACATCAGTGTAAATGATAAAGAGATTGGAAAGGGGTGCTGTGTAGAGACCATACAGGTTCCAAAGCCATTCTTTATGCCAAATCTGATACATACATACATACATCTTTATTACATTCCATGGATCCATAAGTTAGTCAGATGACAATAGGATGTAGAATAAGTCATAATAATACAATACATGTTATACAAATACAAGTCATATAAATGTCACAAAAATACAAACAAAGGATAAATTACGACTTACTTGTAAACATTAGGAATTCCTCGACAAAGTAAAAGGAGTGTGTAATTAAGTATCTTTTCAATGCTGGTTTAAATTGTGCCTTTTTATTTACAAGACTTGTGAGATTAGATGGTAGACTGTTGAAAATTTTGGCAGTGATATTAGAACTTCCCCTACATTCCAATCTTATTTTGAATAGAATACTCTTTCTCTTACAGTTTTATCAATGACATACCCAATATTCCTTGTTTAATAATCATAAATTCATTTAAAACAAAATATTTCAGTGACTTCCAATCAACTTAGGATTACAAATTAAATGTATTGTAGATATACCATTGGTAGTATATTGCATCTGCAACCAAATTTGAAAGCAGGATTATAGACATGAATGCAAATTGGCAGGATTGGTTTCCTGGGTCAGCAGACTCGCAGTTAACGTCTCTGACCAATTAATCTCTTCAAGCATTTAGAAATGACAACAGACCCAGTCACATATTGAAATACTGAAATAGAGGCACGCAAGATTTCCAAATACACTGATGTAAATTTCTAGTGAGAGTGCTTTTGTTCATCTCTCCCACTCCTAGAATACTTGGCTTCTTTGAATATCATGAAATGTGCTCTTAATAGCCTCACACCCCACTTTGACAGAATCATGGCAATGCTATAAGAAAGTAATTATTCTAGCTTGAATTGGTTTTCCTGTCCTAACATGGAATAAGTTACAATCTGGTTTGCCAGTTAGAACCTGTAAATTGGAATAAACGTAGTGTGCACCATCTCCCCAAATGAAACTTTTCTCTTTGCATCTCTGACTCTGCACTCACTAATGCACTGGCAGAGTAGATGAACCTACATGTCCCTCTGCAGCATAGATCCCTAAGGATAGAAAGTTATGAACAATTCTTAATCATCTTTCTGCTAGAAGATGACATACACTGAAATGAATACATACCCATTTTCTGCCTCGAGCCATCACATTAGGCCACATGACACAACTCAATGTCTCCCATATTGTTATAGTTAAGATGATCCAACCAATGCTGGATGAGATCTAGGAACAAACCCAATGTTATTACCATGTGCAAACCAAGGAGAAGAAATATACATATTCATCACAATAAACAAGCTCAAATTTCACATGATAGCTGACAAATGGCAACACAAATAATTCATAAAACTTAAATCTTTTCAGCTGAAAACACAAGAGGCTGACAAATGGATTGTATGTACCTAGAGTTGATTTTTGTTACACTAAACATGAAGAATGCCTTATGGGATTGGCAGTGTTAATGATAACAAATCTGCAGAGCACATACAAGTTTCAAAGCCATTTTTTATTCCATATTCTATGGGTGCAATAACATTCTTATAAATACTGACAAATGTTAGCATGAACAGCTCACATTGCCATTGAAAGCAACAGACAGACAGACATATGACAAGAATGTGTCTATAATGTCATTGTGAATAATTTTCTCAGAAATTCAGAGATTATCAAAAACATGTCAGCTTATTAGTGATAGATATACAAACTGTTTTCTTTCAGACTATAGCCTAAGAAAGTAAGAACTTGTCTTACTTTATACGGCTGATAAATTTGTTTATACAATCTCTGGAAAATTAATAGTATTTTTTGTGACACACTGAAGTGACCTAAATACAGTCGTTTATGTAGATCCAACTGCAAGTGAGTAACACTAGTTAACAAAGATGAATACAAATACATAATGGTACCCCTTATCCAGGAAGCCTGGGGCCTTCGGCTTTTCGAATTTTCTAGATTTTGGATCTCTCCATCAATAATAAATGTTTCAAATTATTTTGTAAACTGCACTTCATAGTCGGTGTAAATTTATTCGACACACACCTCGTACAACAAACATAGGCCATGACTTATCTTGAATTTGTTCCACCACCCAGATGAATATTCACAAAAAGCTGAGGCCTAACAACTCATGAAACATCTGTACTTGTTTCATGATAACCGAACGATTCGAAACTAAATGTTAATTTCAACGTTAATTCATTCTAATAAACGAATTCATTCTAATAAACGACCTTTGACTGATGCAGTGTTTTCCCCTTAACCATTAAACTTTACATTTACATTTACATCTTTATTACATTCCATGGATCCATAAGTTAGTCAGATGACAATAGGATGTAGAATAAGTCATAATAACACAATATATGTTATACAAATACAAGTCATATAAATCACATCACTGCTACCATATGCTTTACGGAACTGTTCCTGTGTTTCTTTATGCCACAGTTCAATATCAAACTCGCCATTTAACCTCTTCTCTAGCAACTTCCTGTCCAACTCCATTAATAATTGGACTGTTTTATAGTAAGCGACAAATACTTCCCGTTCGTATTTCAGCAAAAATCAATTCTGGCCTTTCATACATTGTAAGGGGTAAAACAGTAAATACTAAATAAAAATTGAATTGAAAAATCCTATCCATGTTAGGTCTAATAAAAATGTGCTTAAATGTAACCTGTAGCAAAATTCGTATTGGAAAATATCTATCTGACTTATTTTCTATCAAGAATAACAAGGAGATACTTTTTAGTGTCCTTTGCTCTTTAACTTTGCGTTGGAATCTGCCATCAGGAAAGTTCAAGATAGGCAGGTTTTGCAACTGAATAGGACACACCAGCTATTGGCATATGCTGAAGATGTTAATTTATTTGGCGACGATATAAATGCAATAAAGAGGAACACAGAAGTTTTACTAGAAGCTAGTAGAAATGTGGAGCTAGAAGAAAATCCAGGAAAACCTAAGGCGGGCATAATCATAAATCATAATCATAAATCCTTTGAAAGTGCGACGAAGTTCAAATATTTGGGAACAACAACAACAACAAATTAGGAGGATATTAAAATCTGGAAATGCTTGCTACTTTTCAGTTCAAAATATTTTGTTTTCCTATCTGATTTCTAAGAATCTAAAGATTAAAATAAACAGAACAATAATTTTTCCTGTTGTTTTGTATGGGTGCAAAACATGGTCTTTCACTCTGAGGGAGAAACACAGATTTCAGGTGTCTGAGAATAGGGTGTTGAGGATATTTGGGCCTATGACACAAGACAATGGGGTATGGAGAAAACTGCATAATGATGAGCTTAAAAATTTGTTCTCCTCCCCCATTACTGTCAGGGTGATTAAGTCAAGAAGAATGAGATGGGCGGGGCATGTGGCACGCATAGATGGGGCAAGAGATGTGCACCGGGTATTGGTCGGGAAGCCTAGAGGGAATAACAACCTCTATGTATTTGTAAGTTATGAAATGTATATAAATTCTAATTTTAAGCCTTACTCTGTAAAAGCAACTCAACTTCAAATGAAAATTCTTAATTACTGTGAAATAATCTATTTATAAATAAAATATTTCATAACAATTATTTTGTCAAGCATAATATAATATTCTTAAAAGACATCCGTAAAGACCTGTAACAACTACGTATTAACATTTAATTACTGTATCGGTACAATATTCCTATTACATGTTCCTCATCACTGGCCTAGCGCTATAACATAGATGTGGAACGCAAATTCTATTGTTCTCTTATCATTACGGTAAACATCTTAGTCTACGTAAGTCATGTCGTAGCTTTAATAGTGGAAAATAAAGAAGTTACGTGACTGGATTGCTAGTACTGGATATTAAGGACAAAGATTAACTGCCCTTACAACCAATTCTGCACTGGGCAACTACTATTACTTCATAAATTGTATCAACTAAGTAAACCTACAAAAATACACACCTTCCGAATAGCTATGATAAACAGCAGACATTCTGGTGAAAAAATTACTGATTTTATCACAAGATCAAACCATGCAATACAAACCACCTCTCACTTTTCGCGCACTTTCGCCGTACAAAATCTTCGTTACGACTGACTTAAATGCTAATAACTAGCACCGAACTTCCGGCAACGTGATGTAACTGAGCTTTAGAGTATCTGTGGCGTACTTGGAATTCAAAATTGTTCTCTCTATGTCCGTATGGACGTAGCACTGCTGTGAAACGGAGGTTCATATAAACCTTAGGTTAAAAAGACAGTTTGCACATTAGCTGGAGTGTGAAATTTGTAATGGCATTTTATGTGGTATCGTTTACATTTATTGCGACATAATCACACACACTTTACATTTGGATTGTGACATTTCTTTTGTCCACGGATCTTATGTTGAAAGTCATGGATAACCATTCTGCCCAGTATTGATTTAGTATTACTTCTGTTGATTAAAAGAATTCGCTCCTCTTAATTATCTTTACTGTACAATTTGTTCCGATTACATACAGATAAATAACTGCACAGGTTAAGTAGGGTTTTTAATTTTCAAGGCGGTGAGTCCGAAGATGGCTGTCGTCTGGGTTGTAGCGCCGTGTAGTCTGGTAGAAGTCCATCAACATACCAGAGGTCCGTATTGCCTCCATCATCAGGGCGATGAATAAGGAACTGCATAGATGTATGAAGTGAAGCTTTCGCGGCGATTGAAGTTGATGAAATACTCTCGGGCTACAAGCCGCGTCGTCAAAACTTTGGCAGAAAATTTGGTTTGTCCACCGTTCAGCCACTGCACAGATCATTGCAACTCCATTTACTCATTGGAAACGAATGTTCTGCCATTTACATACCAGCGAGAAATACACAACACTGGCTGCATAGTGGTAAATCTGTTTTTAGTCTCGCACAAATTGACAGACGTTTCAGAAGCACAGAGTGCCTATGTCATCGCCCTTATGACTGAGGAAGTAAGCACCTCTGAAACTTCGCCCACTTTCAACTATGCTACAGGGCACAGTATCCCAGAAGACAGTCCTCTTCGTACTTGAAATTCAGAAACTGAAATATCACAGGTAGAAACGTTAACTGCAGTTCAACCTCTCTACTTTCTATGCACCACTCAAACTTCTGCAAACAATTTTTCAACCCTGGAACTTTGAGGAACATATTCCAATATTAGAATGAAAGTATATATATATGTGAACTGTGTGAGATATCAGTTGAGTTCACTGTCTGTCTACAGTCAACAATGGCATTTTATGGAAGGCATTTAAAAAATTGCTGTTTACTCTTCACAGGTTTTTATCGACTTCATTCTTCATTACTGTCGGCCCCCGATAAAAGTATGACAACAATATAAGGAGAGAAGGCAATTACTGCACATACAAATATAGGTGTGTGGCATTCAAGGACCCTAGAATTACAGAATATTGAAACCACTACTGTTGGGGAAA